TTATATTACACATTGATGGCATTGCAGGACTACAGGGGACGTACATGACATCTGTCTGTAGGTATTGCTCTTAAGTGATCAACAAACCAGCATACCCCTGATTAAATTCGGTTAGTTTTACCTCTCATTCCATCCCTACTGACTGTTTGGAGCTGCTTTTAATCACGGAAATAAAGAACGGTGCGTCTGGGTGCCGATCATTGGATCGCAGAAACAAGCTTCATTTCTCCATCCGAAAAAGGGAGCCGTGGACACCAGTCGGTAGCCACTCAGTCATGGTTGCTCCAACCTCAAGCGTACCACGATTGCAGGTAGATTTCCCAACAGAAACAACTTCTTCTGGATTCGGTAGTCAGGGCTCGAGAGTACCGTACGTGAATTACTGCCCAGTGCACTCCATGACACATGACATGACTATGAGATCAAGAGAAGTAAATGCCCCTGATCCAAGACAGTCATTAGCATCAACTTCAGCGCCAATACGTGTACCGAAGGGTCTACCGTTGTGTTTCATCGACGAGCAGGAATTACGGCAGCCGTCTAACACGAAGTTACGAAGAGTCATTCGGTCACATGCTAGACGAGACACGGATCTGAAGCGTAAACAACTCAAAGCCGCCTTGAAAAACAATCTGGAAACTCCTCGATCTATTCTCGGGAAGTTAACGCAGACGCCACAGGTCACCGGGAGACCGAAGCTTTTACCACCAAGAACAGGAAGCTATGATTCAGGGATGGTTTTTCAACAGGGCCGTTCGGTCTCATTTTCGGAGACTGATTTCGGACCGCTGACAACAGAGTCAGGTAAGGAGTGATCTCAACTTTTCATCGAAAGACGGATGTGAAAGCCTCAAAAGTCAACTATGAGATGTCTCTAGCTTCAGGGTTGACAACCGTCCACAGCATCAACAATTCCAAATAGCAAAATAGCCACCGCCAGACAGTACCACAGGCTCAATGCGCGCCTTCGATCAAGTCGAACAGTAAATTGGCACAATCAGCGACTTCTAGGATCTCACCAGCCCAGCGAGTGGGGAAACAGCACGCCATTTGGCTACGAATTCCCCAAAGTGGAAGGGAAGAAAATAGCTGCGAAACAAATATTTTCTTATGATTACCCAACCTGCAGAGACATTGCTGCAAGTGTTCGGGATAATTATGTTGCCCAATTTCAGAGGCTTTCTGCAAATGATCCAGAGGTCTTGAATGTCGGTAACACACTTCTCGGCAGCTCATGGCGCCAAGACCCATTCGATGTCCACAGTCTTCTCCACAATCCCCGGATCTCACATCTACTTTCTTACTGTAAGTCTCCAGTAGATACCGAATCAGTTTAACTTCTTCCTAATTTCATATCTCCAGATAATGAAGTCGTCAACACGGTTTGGGTGTGCAGCAAAAGCTTGTGGTCGTTTCAAACATCTACACCAGCACTTTTACATGCCACTATGCTGTACACAGCATCACATCTGCGATTTCTGTCTGGTGACAGCGATTTTGACAGGGATATTTTTCATCATAAAGGTCTCTACTAAACCTTCATGCAAGTCTACTTTCTGACTAATTAGCCTTCAGGCGAGACAATGCGAATCATCAACTCAAGTCTAGACGACCTACACGAACGGACAAGCGACCAAATCATCGGCGCGCTATCATCTCTCATACTTTTTGAAGTCAGCCACTTCCCTGCATATTCCAGAAATTGAATGATTGATAAAATCTAGGAAACATATGGGTCCAATCAAATAGCAGCAGTCCACCGACGCGGACTTAAGCAGCTCCTGCAGCTACGGTACAAACATTCGGGAGTAGAAATCCACCGGCTGGTACAACATCTCCTCGTTCAGTAAGCTCTCCAGACTAAGCCAAGTGAGATATGAAGCTAAAGCACCACAGTCCACAAGTCGACCCCGACGAACCCGAAGTCAGCGTCGACAGCACAGCCGAAACAGGACACGCCGGTCGACTTACAGACCTCTCCCGTTCCCTATCCAAGAACACCGTACAAGGAACCATCCTAGGCCACGGCGTAACATCCGTCTATGTCTGGCTCGCCAATACCGCTCAACGAGCTGGTAATCCTTTAGGTGATCAGGAAGAGTACCCGATGTTGAGGAATAATGTCGAGGTTTATCTCGCTTCGTTCCCCTCCCCTGAATTCCCTGCTTCGTCATCCAGGGACCGAGCATGGCTGATAGCTTCCATGATATACCTGCATACCATTCTCGTCACGCCAGCTGAAGCATCGCGTCTCCCCACATCAGAAGAAGGTCTCGTCATGCAGCTCAAGCGGACGATGGATAAACTCCTCTCGAATCCGGAGGGGTTCAGCTATCCCTGTTCTATGAGGCTGTGGGTTATGATGATGGGAGGACTGTACTCTAGATTCGATGATATGAGTTGGTTTGAGTGTATGGCGGGGAGGAGAGCGAGTGTTGAGGAGACTGAGTGGTCGGATGCGAAGGTCTTGTTGAGGGATGTGAAATGGATTGGAAGGGGGCGGACGAGAATTTGAGGAGCATGAGGTTTACGAAAGAGGATGAGGAGGCGTGGATTAATTTGTAGGAATTTTATGGAGATGAAGTGTATAAGTGGAAGTGTTGAGATGTGAGCTTGGAGCCTATATATATATTTGGAGGGTGTGCATGGTTTGGCGAGGCGTTGGGTTGTGGTGTTTGATAGACTAGCTTTCATGCTTTGGTGATAAAGTACTTAAACTAATTTGCTGCGTACACAATTAATCAGTGACTTGCGCTATCTTGATTCTTTCCCAAGGCATTTTGTCCGATATTCGTAGGGACCAGTACGTTTCTAGTGAAATGTCGTGATGCGAAACAGCTCGACAATACTACCTTACTCCTACCAACTTACAGACTACAAACAACGATTCGAGATTTTAGATATATTGCTCTATGTATAAATTGTCTCTATAATTTACGCCCATAGGGAGAGATATAGATCATCAATTATTACTCGACAAGAGCTGTGAAGTGATTGTGAAGTGATTTGACGAGAAATGAACTGTCTCACGTGACAGTATGAATCTTTTCAAGCCATCAAGAAGACTTCTCTGTCTGAAGATGCCAGAATTTTTCAATGACTGTTCGAAATGAACTTCGAGCTCAGTCGCTGCACGCCTACTTGTTGAAGCTTTGATTGCAGTCTATAGAAGTGGTGCGTACGTACGCAAGACTTCGCATTTAGGCTTCCATTTAATCAACCTTCTCGCCACCCTGGACGCACCCCTCCTTCACTTCGCCAAATTTTCAGATCCACTCCGAAGTAAAATCAACAAACAATATGGGCGCTGGATACAATTTAAAGTGGTACCAAATAGTTCTATGCTGTATCGGATGCAGCGCCCACCATGCCTACTTCTGGACAATCAACCAGATCCACGAGAAATTCGACCGCTTATGCGACAGCATCAACACCACAATCCACAAACTCCAAATAACAACCCGTAGTTTCCTACAGCTAACACATCTCGCACGCCAGCCAATATTCATCCGCTTCAATGACTTCCCACTGGAAATCCAAAGACTCATCTGGCACTTCGCCTCTCAAGACCCACGAACCATCGAGCTCCGCCGCTCCAATCGCGATTACCTGTACAAAAACCCCCGCATCGAGCCCCATCGCGGAATCTAGAGCATCGCACAAGTCCCTCCCATCTTACACACGTGTCGAGAATCCCGGAGCGAGGGCCTGAAAAGCTATGAATTGGCGTTCGGGACGTACGAGCAGGAAGCAACAGTGTATGTAAATTTCGAGGCCGATGTTGTGTTTATGGGGAGGAGATGTCCGATGTTGAATATGGTGAACTGGGATCGGGCTGGGGGTGATAGAAGGTATAGGCTTTTAGAGAGGGATTTTGCGAAGATTAGGAGGTTGGCGATTAGGTTTGAGAGGAGTTGGGGACAGTTTGTGCAGGTTTGGGATAGGGAGAAGTTTTTGAATGTGAGGGAGGTTATTGTTGTTGGGCAGAGCAGTAGACAGAGGACTTTTGATTTGGGAGGAAGGCCGGATTTGAGGATTAGAGGGGAGAAGGCGGGAGAGGGGATGCGATGGGATGAGGTTGGGAGTACGAAGAGTGATTTTAGGAATTTTGTGAAGATTCGGATTTTGGAGGATAGGATTGGAGAGTGGGGAGAGGAGTTCGGGCAGAGTGGGTTTATTAGGCGGGACATTTTGGTTAGAGATGGGACGTTTGTGAAGGGCTTGAAGGATAGGTGGTTTAGCCCTAGGAGGTCATGGCTCTTCTAAACTCTCGTGATTCTTTGTAATAGTAGCTCGAATCTCTACTAAAAGGAGTTATTATCTCGACTGAGGTGAATGCTCATGCCATGATGGCTGTGAAGTCTCCATTCCAAGAATTGATGACGAGAGATGATGCAAGACCAGACAGATAATTGATTTGAGAACCTGATAAAATTGAAAATATGCTGCAGCATTTGACTAACAGTCCCCATTTTATATGCTCGTAGCGAAATTCCTCAGATGCTTGGATGGCAATCGAAAGGATGAGCAGATCTCCATGACGGGTTACTGAATTGGGCATAGTTTGTGCATTTGAAGAACCCAGATTTTCTTCACTTGGTTTCCAATCTGTAGATCTGTCCAGTAGTGAGAATGTTGGTGGGACATAGCTTTACTTCTTACTTGGGAACCAATAACTGTAGATGGAGGAGGCAAGTGGAGGAAAGGGATTGCGAGGGCTCGGCCTGGCATAAGTAGTTGCAGCCAGAACATGCACAAAGACGAAATGACTCATACAATCACATAAAGAACAAGTATGCAAAGAAAGAGTACACAAAGAACAGTTGCTCAAGGAACCAAAATTATTCCAAATGTAAATGTTAGCGAGTGGCCTTCGACTAGTCCACTGGTACGTTGGGGTTTCTCGCTTAAGGTCTATTAAGGATTATAGGGGAGATTTCTTGAACAGAATATTCTGGGAAGTTTCTAAATCCTAAAAAACAAAAGAAAAACCGTTCAAATGCCCTCCGCCAGAGTCGAACTGGCGACCTTCGGATCACGTGGTTCACGTGAAATCTGCATGTTCTCAAGCAGATCATACAATGTATGAGACCGACGCTTTAACCAACTAAGCCAGGAAGGCAATTTTGCTTCGTGATGAAGACGGTTGGTGCTTATCTTAATCAATCAAGCAACGAACAATTTAACATGCTCTGAAAAATTCTGTTCCTTTATAACCCCGCAGCGGGGCATTAGTGTGGCCGGCAACGGAGAACAGAGGATGAGGGGGAGGGCTCAACAAGGGAACAAAACAGAAGTCACCATTTAAGTCCAGGATTTTGCATTCATATTGATCGTTCATGGCTGCACCCGCAAATGCTTTCTTGCATATCAGCAGTCACTTTGATTCCAGCACGTAGTCAAGCTATTGCGGTTTACAATAATATATGAGGCTCACGTGTAAGTCCGGCCTCGCTAAGGAAGAAGGGGGCGTGGCTAGACAACACCTCGGTCCCGAAGAGCAGTCGGGTCGAACCAAACTTCAAAGGGCATTGAGGGGCTGCCTTGTATCAATTTGCCAGGCGTGGCTGCAATACATCGGCCTGCAACTTAGAACTTAATCATTTGGTTGATTCTTTTCTTTACAGCACGCCGCAACCAATTCTATATGTAGTAGTGTATCAGTTGTGGAGCTTCAATAAGACTCTGCTCAACTCGTAATCATCTCAGAGCCTTGCTCAGCCCCTTTATCTCCAGAGCTTCATGAAATCCAGGAACAGAAAGAGGGCTGAATAAATATACAGCTTCTATCTTGGGTTTTCTTACCGAACACCAATCAGCAAATCACCAGCCTCATTTGTACTTCTTATCGAGTGGCAACCTCCGCACTAAACCCATCTCCTCCCCATGGCACTTCTCGGAGTCGTCCGCATGTCGATTCAATTGGGTTGCTGAAGGTGAGCTTAATTCCCCACCTAATGCCTGCCAATTAATCTTCACCTTCCCTAGTGGGGTAGACCGCCAAGTCGTCATATCGACATTGCGCCAAACAAGCTGCAGGAACCGATCGCCAAGTAACTCGGCTCTGCCCAGCCATTCAGCTCCCCATGGCATGTCCGAAGTGGCCAAAAACGTGGTCGGGGGACGTTTCCTTACTCGGTCTTGGAAGATAACGGCGGACTCAAGGCTGGGCTGCATAATGAAGATATAAAGAGTTTTGATCCCCTTCGATTTGTTGGGCGTCACTCAGCCATCAACCCCTGAATCAAGCGATCATGAGATTCTCTCTTGCTGCTGCCGCCTTCGCTCTCGGTGCTCTCGCGAACGCCGTCACTATCAACCAGATCAACGGAGTAAAATATCTTTCGCCTTACGCCGGCCAGACATTAACTGGTATCAAAGGTCTAGTGACAGCGAAGGGACCGTCCGGCTTCTTCCTTCGGGACACAACGCTCAACCTTGACATCAGATCATCAAATTCCATCTATGTTTTTGGCAGTCAAGCCCTCAAGAACGTTACAGTTGGGGACATCATCACTGTCGATGCGACTGTCGCCGAATACCGCTCAACGTCAACGTACCTATACTTGACGGAATTGACTTTCCCAAATAACGTCAAGGTTCTTTCAAGTGGAAATGCCGTCAAGCCAGTTGTCATCGGCCAGGATCTCTTGGTCTACCCACCAACCGAGCAATTCTCATCTCTTGACAATGGGGATGTCTACTCCCTCCCAAACAACCAGAGCTTGGTTTCTACTGCAAACCCGACTCTTCAGCCCCTAATCTTTGGCATGGACTTCTGGGAAAGCTTGAGTGGAGAGCTCGTGACTGTAAAACTTCCAGTTGCGATCACCAAGTCCAACAGCTATGCAAATGTGTGGATTGCTGGCTCTTGGAGAACTTCAGGCAAGAACAAGCGTGGTGGCTTGACCATGCGAGACAGAGGTAAGATTATGATGCATCTCAAATTTTTAGAATCTTTCTCATGGAATTCTCAGATTCCAACCCGGAGGCACTCGCAGTCATCAACCCTCTTGATGGCACCAAGAACCCCGCAAACGTCAAGCTTGGCGATACTTTGGAAGAGATTACTGGTGTTCTCACCTATGCATTCGGATACTACAGTATCTATCCCCAGACTGCTGTGAAGGTGGTCGCATCAGCTTCGCCAGCTACGCCTCCACCAACCACTCTCACATCTTCCGGAACGTGCAACCAGCTCACATTTGGTGATTACAATGTGGAGAATTTGACTCCAAAATCAGCATGGCTCCCATCGATCGCTGATCACATCGCCACCTACTTAAAAACACCAGATCTTATGTTCATCCAAGAGATCCAGGACGATAACGGGGCTACCAACAATGGGGGTATTCTTCACCCCGTTCTTCCCGCTTAATTTTGTTGCTAACATCCACAGTCGTCACTGCAAACTTGACCCTCACCACCCTCGTAAACGCCATCTACAACATCTCCGGCGTCCAATACGCATTCACAGAAGTCCTCCCCGTGAACCTCCTCGATGGCGGTGAACCAGGCGGAAATATCCGCCAAGCCTACCTCTACAAGCCCAACGTCCTCCGACTCCGCAAGCCCAATCTCGGCGGACCCCTCGATGCAAACGAGATCCTCCCGGGCCCAGAACTCAAGTTCAATCCAGGCCGTATCGAGCCCTCAAATCCTGCTTTCACAGCGAGTCGTAAACCATTGGCTGCTGCATGGGAGACCCTCGACGGGAAGAACAAGTTCTTCACTGTGAACTTGCATCAGGGTAGTAAAGGAGGTGGAAGCCCTTTGGAGGGAGACGCTCGACCTCCCGTCAACGGAGGTGTAGCCGATCGATCTGCTCAAGCAAATGTCACAGCCGTGAGTCCCTTGCCCCTTGCCCCCTCCCCACCCCTTAGAAACACCTACTGACCAAATATCAGACATTCGTCGCCCAAATCCTCAAGCAAAACCCCTTCGCCAAGATCATCGTCGCCGGCGATTTCAACGAATTCTCGTTCGTCGAACCCTTGGAGACATTCAAATCCGTCTCCCACATGCTCGATCTCGACGACGTGACTCTGACACCTACGACGGAGCGGTACACTTATATGTTCGATATGAATTGCCAAGAGTTGGATCATATGTTTGTGAGCCCGGCGCTGATTCTGGGAGCGGCGGTTGAGCATGTGCATGTCAATACTTGGAGCTCGTTGGCGGATCAGAAGAGTGATCATGATCCGAGTGTGGCAAGGTTGAATGTTTGTTCGTGATGATTTTATGATTATGAGTATAAGATTGGTGTAATGATAATAGATAGTGTACATGATTTATGAGGAAATACATGAAGTTATCTGTCCCGAGATCTTTTTGGTCTGAGATCACTAGGCTGTTGATAATTAGTTTCATTCAAGCTGACAGCCTGTAGTCATGCACGGCCAGGAGTCCTTTCCCGTTGGAAGATCAGAGCAACGAGCTCGCAAAACTCGAAAAGAGACAATCACTCTTGATCACTGCGGAGTACCACTGCACCGAGTAAAGGGCAAATGCTAGTAGATCAGGACAATCAAAATGTTTATGAATAGCTTGCGAATGGCCAAGAATGGATATGGCAACGATGGTTTATGGAGGGACGGATGGCTGTAAAGAGGTCTGTCTCGCGCGGTGATTTGTGGGAGAGCTACACCGGCAAATCGTTTGCTCCTTCTAACCGCTCCAGCACGCCTGACTACACTACCCAGGAGCCATCTTATCTCAAGACAATCAATATAAGAAATCAATTAGCTTCTATATATCCCCCCTGGAAGTTTTTCCAATTGAAATCCTCCTTCACGCAACCCCGAATCCCAAGTCGCCCCACACCCAGCAGGCTCACCAAGCAAACCCACCGCCATCTCAAAAGTACCCAGAGAGTTGTGATCAAAAATGGCATCCAAGTCCACCACCTCCTCGAATGATAGGTCCTCCAATTCCAATTCCAACTCAGCCACAAACGCCAACCAAACTTCCACCACGGCTCCGACCAACCCAGCCGACAAGTCAGACTACCAATGGCTCAAGGACGCCGGATACAAGAACATGTACCACTTCATGCTCTCTTACGGCTTGAAGATGCATGGGGATGACGATTATGAGGAGGGAAAGGCTATTTTGAAGGGGATGAGGGAGGGCGAGCAAGCCAACTACGAGCAGGAGGTGGCGGAGAGAAGGGCACGGAAATAAGTTGGATTGGAGATTGGAATGGGGCTTTACTAAGAGAATAAGTTAGGGCAAGTGGTAGATGGACATTGTGTTGGTGAGGAGGGTAGATGTGTGCTGCTTGGGTCGTGGGAAATGTGCTGTGCAATTCGCGATTTTGTTTCGGGGATTATGTTTTTTTTTTTTTGCTCTTGCTTCTTATTTGTCTAGAAGGAATACTCAGATTTGAGCTTACTAAATACAAAATCTCAGATTGGCCCTCAACCTGCCTTTGGAATTGCACTTCTAAGACGAGTACCCATCATCCTGTTCATGACTCTACTCAGGTTTTCTAACTAGAATGTAAATGCTGAGAACCCAATTCTTCGGTACATGGTAGCATCACTCGGATAGCCGTATGACTAGAATTTGATGTCACTTTAAAAAACAATGGGTCACTATCTGTGAAGAACTGAATTGGTGATTATGACATAAGAAGCAGTGCATTGAAGATTATGAAATCTCACCACATCATGAGCCTTCCACCATCGTTGATCCACTCCTCTCCTAGCCACCCAAATCAGTGTGATACTTCCGAAATCCTCTTCAACGCTTCTCTAAGTTCCAAAACCAGGCTTCAACCCCAAATATCCCAACGCGACACCAGCCATAGACGACTTCCCCTCCACTTTCTCCCCTGCCTTGCCATCTCCCTGTCCCAACGCTGCCTTCTGTATAATCTTCTTCTTGATCCTCTGGCGATTACGTCGTCGAAAGCTTTTCTGTGCGTTCGAGATATCGCCATCGTAGCCGCTTTCTCCACCTGGTTCGTATCCTGTATTGGAGCGTGAGGCCATGGTTGTGGACTTTGTGGTTTTGCTGGAAATATTTGCAGTGGCTTTCGAATGACTGATTGGGAGTGAAGTACATTTGGAAATTCATTTAGTCGATTTCGGTTCAGAGCAAAGCTGGTTCAGGTCT